CACCCAGGGGCCACAGGCAAGAAAGGCTACACACGGAGTAAAAGACATTGTTCCTGGCTACCCTGAAGAATCTATTGGCTTTGGCCCTCATCAGTTTTGATTTGAATATATACCACCAAAGCGGGGTCCATTTTCAGGGGCCTTCCCACACTCTGTGCTACTTGAGCATATCCAGCTCATCTCGTGTAGCTCTTGGCTCGCCAGTGCTGTGGGTCCTTGGAATAATTTCATCTGGGAAGATAATGCAGGGCATGGGGAGTTGGTAGGACTTAAAACCACGGGGGAAATGATCTGCATTTGTTCGATGGAAGAATACTTCCATGGACAGGAAGATTCATCTCATAACCTTGATATCAAAACCCACCATTGTACATAAAATTCCAGTCCAAGGAAATAGTTTTGACTTTACACTACTGTAAAATGGGCATAAATGAATTGCAGCTGATTAACATGTCTTGATGTTGGCATTGAACCAAAAAAGGAATTGAAATTGTAAGAGATTGGAAAATCAAGAGGAGTAAAATGAGCTGCTGACTTGTTGTCACCCATTTTACATTATCGCACAAAGTCAAAATTTTATCTCGCTGCATGTAATTTAAAACAATACCATACAGTTCATTGCAATAAACACAGATGCGTTTCAAGTGCTTAACTACATTTATATTATCTAGTCTTTATATAAGCAGTTTCATAGTCATTTCATTTGTGATACTTTAATGCTTTCGGGTTTGTATAAAGAGACAATTTGAGGCTTCTCTGTTTTGCCAATGGCAAGGGGCTGCCTTTAAATCAGGATACATTTTAGTATTGACAGCATTCTACTTGAAAATTAGCAATTACATGATGACTAATATTCACTTTCGTGCAAAATAACCACAGGTAAAAAATGCAGCTTCTTCGCAACTATTTACATCTTTAAACGGATGTCAAGCAGTATCTAATACAGGAGAAAATATCCTTCAGATAAATACCAAAGGGCTACAAGATAATGAATATGAAGACTGACCCTCTCAAGTTAGAGGTAGGTTGGTAGTTGAATGGTAATAACTTGCCTTAGCCTGTTCCAGTCTATATCCAGTCAGACTAAGGAATTTCCCAGTCTGTACCACTTTTCCTCATCCAACTTTACAGTTCTCAGAGGAATGTTTACCGCTCCCAGGAGTGTCTGCCTGCTCCACACACTCAGCTGGATGACACGACTTGATAGATCAATGCTTGATATCCCAGTGTACTCCAGCTGCAAACATTAAGACACAGACGATGGGAAATTAGAGTTCAATGTCTTAATTTTATGATGATGTCAAACCATTAGCTTGGAGTTTTTTTTTGTGGATTTGCATCCTTTGTGAAATGTCTTGGGATGTTTCTTCACAGTAAAGGTGCTACATAAATGCAAATTGTCATTGTTTGAAAAGAAAGGTAACAATGAGCTTTTTTCACTTGAGTAAATTTCCCATACGTGGGAAGTATCAAATTGGCTGACATTAGGTAAATCTCAAAAGGACTCCCAGCTGAATCTCTCCAGATCTCGAGAATTCTGATAAAGGCCTTGGCCTTTTCCAGGAAAGGCTCAATGTTGTTTTGGAAAGTAATGCATGAAAGCACTGAAAATAACCGTCAAAGTCTGTATTTTTATAACTAATTGTATACAGCTGGATAGATTATAATGAAGTATTATTAAGAGGAGTAGCTGATTTTCTTCCCCTATGAAGAATTGTTGCTACTTTTTAAAGTAGCCATATATGTACAAAACTTTGTTTTTTCTTCTTTATTCATTCACAGGATGAGGGTATCGCTGGCTAGGCAGCATTTATTGCCCATCCCTAATTGCCCAGAGGGCAGTTAAGAGTCAACCACATGGCTGTAGATCTGGAGTCACATTTAGCCAGACCAGGTAAGAACGGCCTAAATTCCCTAAAAATTCCCTTCCCTAAAGGACCTGAGTGAACCAGATGAATTTTTCCTGACAACCGACCATGGATTCATGGTCATCATTAGCCTCTTAATTCCAGATATTTATTGAATTCACATTCCACCATCAACCATGGTGGGATTTGAACTCCGTTCCCCAGAACATTGTCTGGAGCTCTGGAATAACAGTCCAGTGATAATGCCACTAGGCCATCGCCTCCCCATAAAAATAAGTCTTTGACGTTTGATAGATATTATTGAAATTAATATCAAAATCATAATTAAAATAGCTATTTGTAGCTGGATTGCAGATGCTGAAAATGGAGTATGGTGGTGTTAGTACAAACATGGAAGTACTCAGCTCAGATGGGACATAGTGTTTAAAAGAGACCAGTTAATGCATGATCATTAGACCTATTGAAGCCAGATGTTCAGTTCAGTTCATTCCTCCAGGTGCAGTAAGTAGAAACTTAGTTGAGTGCTGGAAACAGCTGTAGCAAGCTGGCATTTCCTGATACAATCAACACTTCAACTGATCTTGATGTTTAATTGTGGTTCTGTAATGCCGGACCTCGAAGGTGCACTGTGATTGAGCATGCTGGCCTCAAATTTAAGTCACCAGGTGATGAATTGGAGGAATTGCTGAGGGTGGGCGGCCCAGTGGCTCAGTGGTCAGCGGTCAGCACTGCCATCTCACAGTACCAGGAACCCGGGTTCGATTCCAGCCTTGGGTGACTGTCTGCTGGAGTCTGCATGTTCTCCCTGTGTCTGCATGGGATTCCTCCCACAGTCCAGAGATGTGCAGGTTAGGTGGATTGACCATGCTAAATTGCCCATGGTGTCCAGGGATGTGTAAACTAGGTGGATTAGCCATGATAAGTGCAGGATTATGGGGATAGGGTAGGGGTTTGAGTTTGGGCGGATGCTCTTCGGTGGGTCAGTGCAGCCACAATAGATCGAATTGCCTCTTTCTGCACTGTAGGGATTCTATGATTCTATTCGATGAATGAGGATGCAACTCCCTCCAGCTGACATGGCCCTTGCTTCAGCTCTTCCATTTCTAAAACCCTCATCAACACCTTTGATACGTTAAGAGTTGATTACTCTAACACAACCCTGGCCAGCTTCTTATGTTCTTCTTGTTCAGAAGGTTGTTCAAAACTCTGCTATCTGTGGCATTACTCACATCAAATGCTATTCGTCCATCATTCTGTGTTCACTGGCTTACACTGGCTAAACAACACTTCAAAAATTCAAATCCTTATTTTCAGAACCCTCCAGGGACTTGTCCCCCGCTATTGTTGTAACCTATTACAGTCTTACAAACCTTATTCCTCAATTCTGGCCTCTTGCATGTTCCAGATTTCAAATAGTCCAATACTGGTCACAGCAGGCCAAG